TGTGTGTGTGTGTGTGTGTGTGTGTGTGTGTGTGTGTGTGTGTGTGTATACCACATTTTCTTTATGCATTCATCTGTCGATGGACACTCAGGTTGCTTCCATGTCTTGGCTATTGTAACTAGTGCTGCTATGAACATTGGGGTACATGTATCTTATCGAATTAGGGTTTTCTCTGGATATATGCCCAGGAGTGGGATTGCTGGATCATATGGTAACTCTGTTTTTAGTTTTTTAAGGAACCTCCATACTGTTCTCCATAATGGCTGCAACAATGTACATTCTCCCCAACAGTGTAGGAGGGTTCCCTTTTCTCCATACCCTCTCCAGCATTTTTTATTTGTAGACTTTTTGATGAAAAGGAAGATTTTTAAAAACACTGTTAGCCTCATACAATATTAACAATCCCCATTACAAGAAAAGTCCCTGTTTACATTGGGCTCCAGTCCTGGATTTGTCACTAACTTCTCTGTGATTTTTGGGCAAATCACTTATACTCTTTGGGACTTAATTTGCTCATTTGTAAACTTGGGGCACTGGATCAAATCATCTCTAAGATATCATCCAGTTCTGACAATCTATAATTCTGATTCCGCTCAAAATCTCTTTCCTTTGGCTCCGTTCCAAAGGAATATCGGGCATGTATGCCCATCAACATAGGACATGTAATACAGGAAAGCAGACCAGGTGAAACTGTTTTCTCTTCTGACTGTGGAAGTAAAATTCACAGAAGGCACTGATGTCTTCATCTTCCATTAATACATTTAACGAAGCATTTATTGACGACCTATTATATACCTGACCCTGTCCTAGTGACTTTTATGTGTTATCACTGCATACTCAGAGCATGTCAGAGAGATCATTATTCCCATAATACTCTCAGGATTGTACAGGTTAAGATATATGACCAAGTCATGTAATTAACATGCGGCTAACTCAAAATTTAGACATGTATTTTTTTGACAGTCTGATTCGGAGTCTAGGAAAATTATTCCAAGAGAATCTGTGCAAAAAGGACAAACTCTTAACACACACACACGGTATTAAGCTGATCTAATATACTTTAAAAATCAGATTTTTTACTAAATGAATACTGTTGTAATTTTTAATGGACTTAATTTGTATTGGGGAGTCAATTCCTTCATTGACTTAAAAACACCTGAACTAGAAGCATTCCTAGCCTGCTTTCAGGTTTGCTTAGGCATCTCTTCTGAAGACTTTACTGATACAACATAGAAATTATGGCAAAGCCCAGTGGAGTCATTGAACTAAAAGTCTCAATACTGCTCAGGAAGGGATGCCAAATTAAATAAAAAGAGCCCCAGCAGTTCTGCAGCTGCGTGCCAACCCAACTGCTAGTATGAGGTAAATGAGGACCAAACTTCATTTCACTTGTGACCCTAGCCAGTATTTAAACAAAAATGCCTAGAGACTGACACACTGTTCTATAATAAGGGAATAAATATCAATAGCAAAAATAATTACAAAAAACAATAAACTACTCGCAAAGACTTTCTTAGATCTTAACTGAAAGGACTACCATTTAAACTCATCGCCTCTCATGTAGTCGCTAGTAAAGGGTGAGACAGTAGATTGTAAGCATCAATTTGTAATACATAGCCCTAGGTTTACATAAAAAAATTATACAGAAGGCAGAGGTATTCCTGTTGCTTTCCTTTCCATGTCTTGTGACAATGTTTGAGTGAAGGTGTGGTATTAATATTCACCATTATGCAAAGATCACAAGCATAAGTAACCCCCAATTTTTTTTTCTTGTATGAGATGTAATAAACATGCAGGTGAAATGCCAGTACTTTATTATTCTTTCACTTTTCTAGATTTTTTTCAATCTGGAGTGATTACTCTTCCAGTTTTTAAAAATTTCTATTGGAATGCTACACTTAATGCTACTAAATATAGAGAGACAAAATAGAATCAAAAATAGTTAGATTTTTGTCAGTCTGAATCTATCAGAAAATCCTGAGTCCATTATATTTCAAGTTCCTTTAAAGAAAAGTTTCACGTAAAATCAAGTTATCACTTATGTTTTAACTTTGCAGAATGGTCTAATAGTAACAAATTACAGCAAGTACTGTTGTTAGCTATGTTTTAATCCTTTGATCAGTTTTTTCCAATATGTATTCCAAAGAATACTGGTTCCTTGGAATGTTAATAGGTATTCCATGAAAGGAGGGTTTTGTGGTCCTGTGAAAGTGGTGACCATGAGGTTAAAGAGAGACAGGCTGACTTTCATACAACTAGGCCAGCTGCAGTCACTAACATGCTGATGTACATTAAGAATCTTTAGGAGGAGAGGGGCCAATGCCATTAGCAATGTTAGCAAAATTTCCTCAGAACCCTCTTTGCAGAACAGCTATAGAACCATATTCAAAGGAACAAACTTTGAGAAATTTTGCTTAAGGGCTGGATTTTAACTATTTTTAATGGAAAAATTTTTAGAAAACATTACATTTTTTCCATCTTCATTCACATTTTACTGGGATTTAATATTTTCTTGGGGGCTTTGTGGCATCATATCAAACTCTCCTTTTTTTTTTTTTTTTTTTTTTTTTTTTCGGTACGCGGGCCTCTCACCGTTGTGGCCTCTCCCGTTGCGGAGCACAGGCTCCGGACGCGCAGGCTCGGCGGCCATGGCTCACGGGCCCAGCCGCTCCGCGGCATGTGGGATCTTCCCGGACCGGGGCACGAACCCGTGTCCCCTGCATCGGCAGGCGGACTCTCAACCACTGCGCCACCAGGGAAGCCCTCCACTTTTTTTTTTTAATGTGATGTACTGTTCAGGGCCTGTGAGGTGTGCAGATGTTTGTACCTCAGACTTCTGTGTGTTCCAAATAATATTTCTTTTGGCATCTCCTCCATGGTCATCTCTACTCACCACATTCTTTGAGTCTGTTCACAATCCCAGGGTCACTTCTGCTACTAACTACCCTTTTATTATCCTAAGACCCTTTCCAGTTCTGAGAACGGTGACCCTGTGGGTACCTTTTCTCTTCCTCCCTCCCTCCCTCCCTTCTTCTTTCTTTCTTTTTCTCTTCCTATCTCTCTTGTTCTCTTTTCTCTTTCTTCCTTATTCCTGATATTGGTAACTGATGCTTTCTCTTTTTCTCGATCATTTTTGCTGGGGTTTATCAATTTTATTAATCTTTTCTAAGAATCACTTTAGGCTTTGTTGATTTTCTCTGTTATTTGTTTTCTATTTCATGTATTTCTCCTCTTATCTTTTTTATTCTCTTCCTTTTACTTATTTTGAGTTTATTTTACTCTTTTTTTAAGCTTTTTAAGATAGAATCTTAGATCATTGCTTTTAGACCTTTCTTATTTTCTAAAATAAGCATTTAGACTGATAAGTTTCCCTCTAAGCAGTGTTTTTAGCTGCATCTCACAAATTTTGATATGCTGCATTTTCATGATCATTCAGTTCAAAATTTCTCTAATGATTTTTTTCTTTGACTTGTGAGTGTCTTGTGAAATTTCCACATATTTGGGCTTCCCTGGTGGCACAGTGGTTGAGGGTCCGCCTGCCGATGCAG